ATTCCAACATCCACACCACATAGAACAAGCTTACTTCGTATATGAAAAGCCTGTGTCCAAAGAACACAAGAGCTTATCAAAATCAAATACATAATGGTAATATTAATAGATATCATTTAATAGTATCAATTCCTATCCATCTATCTTACAAAGACAGGTGGTGAACATATGTTTGACTGACCTAAATATTTTGTGAAAGCAAAACTGTGTAGATCCTAAGACAAGAGCAACAAATATAGCTCAACTTTACTATCCGAGGTCCCTGCTTAACCCTGGTCAGGAGACCAATCTCTGATTATAAACTACATAAATAAGAAATATTTTGCACTTTGGGTTTAGTATAATTACAATCCTTAATATTCCACTAACTTGTAAAGTATGATGTATAAATAAAACAAAATCATAAGAACTTATGAGGCATTTAATAATGAAATTGATTCAAACAATTTTATATAGGTTTAATCTTAAAATGAAGTCCAATTAGGGAAAATACAAGACATTTTAGATCTTGCACTAAGTAGTAAAAACACCGAAGACCCTCAGGATCTCTAGATTGATTTACATCAACAAGGGAACCTGTTTTTGATGTAGTGAATGAAATATGTTCTTCCCCAATCACTATCTCCAGTTCCTGCAACAAAAAGGATAATTTTAAATTTTGGTTCCATTTAGAAGAGTGATTACTAGTTGAAAATATTATTTACCACCAAAAACAATTAGTTTGATATAAAGGTAATGTTTGTCAACATATAGACTTAATTAGATTTAACAGGTTTTTGTAGCAGGCAATTAATTTGGAATCTAGTCACTAGCGCCGCTAATATGTGGCGTAAAATGTACTAACCTGTCTACCCACTCTATCAGGTTGTGGCCATAAACGATCATCTTCGTGCATAATTTCAGAATCAACGATTATCCTTTTCAATTCTTCCATCACGCACGGATGCACATATGCTTCTTTTCGTATCATTGTATCATTCTTGTAATTAGAGTTGTTTGCATAACGAAGTTTGCCATCGGGACGAAATTCAAACTCCAAAAATTCGTGCCCAAACTTACCCTTATGCCCAACATAGTATCGGATGTAAAAATCAGTAGACATATTGAAGCATTAATTTTACCGATACTGTACCTATCGATATAACCACGCTAAAATTATTCAGGCAATAAGCAAGTGATATAAATTTTATAAGCATTCAACCAAAAAACCGGGTTTGATTTTGATGCTTTTCTTTCCAGTGACGTTTATTTGAGGTTGTTTGTTTGACTTTGACTTATGGCGCTGTGCGTGCATGACCACAGACAAAATTATTTTGCACACTTCAGATAAACTAAAGCTAAAACCACAGTTTCAACAATTTTTAATCAACAAAAAAACCGTAAAGTGATTTTGTGGATTTATCTTAGATCAGAATCAATAATAATATTATATCAAAATAATATACATGACATCGGAATGGATAAGATATAGACGACTTCGATATTTTTTGTTATTCGACAACTGCACTATTAGAGTATTTAAGTATTTACTTAGATTTGTGGATTAGGTGTAAAGCCTACATAAATACCGTTTAAATCTCCCAAGATTGGTTGGCTGTGGTCTAGAATTCTAAAACATGCTATTATTAACACGGTTAAGAAATAAATATAAGGAATAGTAATAGTATGTCGATGTCGATAAGATTAATTTACAGTGTTGATCACTAACAATTCTTTGATTAAAGGAAAATATAGTTGGCATAAAACATTAACCCTACCTACTTTCATAAAATTTCTTTTTTTGAATTTTGATGTCAATGCTTTTAGTTTCGTCATCATTTGTTTCTACCAAGAGTTGTGGTTTTATGTTCTACTAGTAATATATTAGTCATATATTTTCTTTCTAAATATGTGTTTGTAATTATGTTTTATCGTACTAATAAGTAAAGGTGAAACATAAATAAAATTATTCCTGAAAAGGGCGCCAATTTTACGCGGTCCTTTTTTTTAGACACAAAGGTTCAAACATTAATGTCTTCAAAAAAATATATCTTGGTTACAATATACTACAAGAACTTTCGAAAAAAATATAATTTCTTATATTTGTGTAATATATTATCAGATTATATGAAAAAACCAGTTTGAGAAGGTTTTGCCGATTTGTGTAATAGACAACTTTCCGTAGACTACAGAGGTCGTACAGGTTTATTATTCTATCCGTCAAACAAATCTTTTCTTTTTGACCCAGGCAAGATGGGTGAGTGGTTGTTGAAATTTTAAGTTTTATCCATTTAAATCATAACATTGCCTTTAAAATTTACTAGATTGATGTGATTTTGAAATTGTGCGTTATAGTAAAATTTATTTTCCATTAATATTTTTGTTATCATAGTCTTGGTTGATGTAAAGTGATAGTGATAATCGGACTATATGTTGCTTTTGTGTTGAGTAATTTTTTACTACCATGCAGGTATCAGTCGCGATCACTGGCATAAGCGAAGGGCCACAGGAGGGAAACGAGCGCCCATTCGTAAGAAGAGGAAGTATGAGTTAGGTCGCCCGGCTGCCAACACCAAGGTACGAAACATAACCTTAAAAAATTAAATTATAGAATACTTAAATTTTATGTAAAATATATACTGACAGATTCTGTGGATGACATTTTCACGTGTTTCTTATTTCGTTTTAGCTTGGCTCCCAGCGTATTCACTTGGTACGAGCTCGTGGTGGAAACATCAAATATCGAGCTCTCAGACTTGACACTGGAAACTTTTCATGGGGTTCAGAATGTAAGTTGATTTCATTTTACTTAGTAATGTATTAAAACGATGATTCTTGTGAAGTGCTAACAATGGTTGTCCACTGTCTAAATTATTTTTGTATATAAACATGTCGATTTGTTTTCTATTTAAGAAAAAATAGAGATTGACTTGTTATGAATAAGTTGTTGAATACCACCTCACACGAAAATTACGTTTGCATTAAAATTAGAACAAACTATGCAATTATTAATTTGCTACAAAGTACATCTAAAAATTATATGATTTTTGGTGAAAGTGCTGAATTTAAACTTATTTAATCATATCTCAATAGGATTTATCAAAGCTTATTATAGAAAATGTAGTGCATTTTTTGCAGAAAAGCAAAAAGTCATGGACAATTGAAATTTTAATGTGGATTATATTTTTGCAGGCGCAACTCGCAAGACCCGTATAATTGATGTTGTGTACAACGCATCTAACAACGAGTTAGTGCGTACTAAGACTTTGGTGAAGAATGCTATTGTTGTGGTTGACGCTACTCCATTCAGGCAGTGGTATGAATCCCACTACCTGTTACCTCTTGGCAGGAAGAAGGGTGCTAAGCTGGTATGTAAAATTAATTTTCAAATAAAAATGTATATTAGCAGATAACATTAGTAAAGAATATTTTATTCAACATAAATAATGACAAAAGTGAAACACTGGCTGAATATTTTGACATATTCAAGGTATCTCTTATGCAGTCTCTTGATATTTAAATTTTCATCATATCTTGATTTGTGACATTAACATAAGTTATTAATTGCTTGACATATTTGTGTTATTTAATTGTATCTAAAGTTATACTTCAGTGGCCAACATTTTCATGTCTCTGTTAGTATGAACTTAACTAGACTTAATTTTATGTAGCATACATGCATTTGCTAATGATGAGATTTATTGCGTGTCATATGATTACAATGATATGAAGAATTACATTACTGAGCTGTAACATTCTGTTTTATATGGTTTGATACAACTTCTTTATAATTTTAAATATTTTTTGTCTTCAGACTGAGGCTGAGGATGCCATCATCAACAAAAAACGCAGCAAGAAAACCGCTAAGAAGTACTTGTCCAGACAACGCCTTGCAAAAGTTGAAGCAGGACTTGAAGATCAATTCCACACAGGGCGTCTGTTAGGTATGTTGCTTCAACCATTTAATATTCTAAAAAATGGCAAACAATGTATAAACTGCATCACGGTCCTTTATAACTAACCTCCAACTTATTTTTGGAAAATGAAAACATAGGTTTAAAATGTTGAATGATGAAAACTAAAGTATTGAAATTGCTGTATAAACTGGAACCGTTTTGGGAACAGTTTGGCTATTGTATGATCCACTTGTCATAGTTACTCTGACTTTTTCCAATTTCCTGTTATTTTTTTATTTTTATTGATTGTATTATAAATGATATTGTTATGGTTACAGCATGCGTGTCCAGTCGACCCGGCCAATGCGGCCGCGCCGACGGTTACGTGCTGGAGGGCAAGGAGCTGGAGTTCTACCTAAGGAAGATTAAATCCAAGAGGGCTAAGTAAAAAGTGTAATGTAAAATAAACAAAAAAAACAATTTCGCTCTTTGTTTTTTTTATACAACCTATACCCACAGTCTTATTATTATATAATAATTCAGGCATTGTTATTATACTAAAATAATTTCTATTGATATCCAGACACAATTACACATAGAATAAACTGAAAATACACTTAAATTGTTACTCCAGCGCAGGAATAGGAAGTAGATTTTTTGAAAAATTGAGTAATGAAATATTTTTAAGGCCCTTCATATACAATAAAATTAAATCTTCGAATAACTTGTATACTCATATCGCCAGTGTCTACGAATCCGCCCCTTCCCAACCTTATATGTTTTGGCAGAAACAAATGGCCGCTTGCTCGTTTGCCACCTTTTTTGTGGGCCACAGTGTCGTGCTCAAAATGTTGTGTGGCGTGCCAATACTTACTATATACTATACTGTAGTCTTTGGGTTCGCCAGCCCTGGTGTAGGAACATAATTTGTCAGGAAGGGAAGAAGACAAACAATTTAAGGCTAATAAAGCTCACTTTAATGGTTATGAAAAATATACTTTGGAAATTACTAGTATGCATATTGTTTCGTTAAGCTTATCTAATTAAAAAAAATCCTTTTATTCTGAGTAATCTTTATATCCTACACATCTTTGTATAGAGGAAATGGAAATAAAACAACGATTATATTTTAAATAAGTACCTATAATATTCTAGAATTTAATGGATCCACTAATTTGCCGGCCATTAAAGCGACGTTTATATTCGCGTCCATAACGAAGTACAGGAAAGGATAAGTTGCTGAGAAGTACGCTCGTTGACGGTTCGCAGCGTGCCCTGGAACAGTTTCATAAATTAATTTACAGGCAATATTACTTGACATCGACGGATCTTTTGCTAATCTCGAGCATTTGAGACGTAAATTCAATATCTTCGTTCCGCTAAGTTTTAAGGTTTTTAAGAGTTAAGACGGACTAAACAAATCGCATTGCGTTAGAGAGAACATTATGATTAATAATCGTTTCCAGCGACAGGAAGCAATCAATGTTATCAGTTATAGCGATTTTTTTGATTGAAACCACAATCTGCAAATCATATTCATCTCGCGATTAGGCATTGAGGTCGGCATAATGCGAGTGCAGCGGTCGATTTCCCTAATTGTGGTCGCTTCGTGCGGTGCGCGTGCGCGGCAAGTGCGGGACGCATCAATGGGCTCACATGCGCGTGTCGCCGCGTTGCGCCACCGCACCGCGGAGACAATGGCACCGCTGCTCTGCATCTCGCCACTTACCAACGCAGAATTTGCACTCTTTTGACAACAATTATCTTATCTCTGCACTGGAAAACGAGTTACTTCGGACTAGCTTGCGTATAATTGCCGTCTACGGTGTTGCATCGCAATGCGGGTGGTCGGCTTTTGCAACAATCGCTCATTAAATAGTAGCATAGTACCGTTATTTTATTTGATAGAGACGATTTATGTTTGTCAATGTATTTGAGTAGGTAATGATTTATGTGCAATTTAGTTAATTTTGGGAGCGCGTCAGCGAGGCTCAAGGATGCCGCGTTGTGCGGCGGCGCGTGACCGAGCTGGCGGCGTGCGACCCCGGCCGCCTCCAGCCGCCTGCCAATTAAATGGATCACACCGGAACCTGACACTTGTTCGTGCAGGATTCGAGACTGAAGGCGCTTTGTTTATGTCGTTTACTTTCCAGTCGCTGCACACTCGCGCGGCGCGTCATTTGTATCCTTACAAATGATTTATCATTTTTGCATATATTTTTCTTACATTTAAGAATGTATAATGTTTAATAAAATTAAAGCCATTTAACTTTTTAATTGATTTGAATAAAAGAAAATCATGGACTTAAATTATGAACCATAAAGCATCGCTTATCCACTTTAATTTACAAACGTTTGTGATTTCAAACAAATAAAGCAACTATACATATTATTGTCAATATAATACAAAATACAGACCAATTTTTTTAGTTTCGTCCGGTGAATACTTCCTGATGGCGACGGAGACTGCCTGCTCGATGCTACGCACGTAAACACCCGCCTGTGACGTCATCGGCGTGAAATCATTCTGCCGCGGCTGGAACACGTTTCTGATGCCCAACTGGAATGTACCAAGAGAAATATCCAGAACTGTCTGATTACGACGTCTATACCTATCAATAAAATATAAAAAAGTGATTTGGCATTATTTCGGTTTTTATTTTAGTTTAAGTTGAAACATAATTCTTAATTTTAAATTTAACAAGATTTTATTAAATAAGCTAACAATGACCAATTTAATCCCACGCACAAATTACGATCGAAAGTTAATGCGGCCGAACTATGTTAATTAGTTGATGGCAGAATTTTATTGAGATTTTAATCAAACTACCTCATTTGGGTTACTGGGTACGAGCTGAATGGGTTTGCGAAGTAATGTGGGTCACAATTGCAAGTAGTAACAATTTTGCAAAACGTGTGTTCATTAGTCTAATGTTATTGTGTGTCAGGACGTAGTTGTGTATACAGTACGCTACATAATTTCTCTTTTAGGTTCTCTTGAAAGCGCAGTAGTAAAGGTACCAAAGAAATTTGTTGCAAGTTATTAAGTAATACTCCAATTTAAAATACCATTATCACTATTTATATTAGTCTTTCGTTATTTAGAATTTACGACATACGAGCCGCTTTAAGCACATGAGAACTGTGCATGTCATATATGACAACAATATTGTGTTGCAAGTACAAGGTCACTCCCAGGAGTTTCAAAATTTAAAAATAACGTGGTGTATTTTATAATAATAACCTTATCTAACATATACAAGCTCACCCTTTGCAGATCAGTGGTTAGTGTGATGTGACCTTTAACGAAGAAGCTGGGCACTAGGGCGCGCACTCTCTTTGGTCTCAGCGCGTTATAGACATCGGAGAGATCTGAGGAGCGCGCCATGCGGGCCAGGAGACGCGCCAGCTCGCCCGCACGCCGCCGCGTCGGCAGCACCAACAGCAGGTAGTATCGCTCGCTGTCCAGCGGCAGCCGCAGCGCGGACGCGTCCAGGTGCGGCAAGTACGCGTGATCCAGCGTCGCGTCGTAACTCATATACGTCACCTGGATTGTTTGTTTGGTTGTTTGTTCACTTCTAATCAGGTAAAAAATTCAAGAAAATTTCAACTCCAAGACTACATTTACAAGACCATACTCGTATTTTAGAAACGATTATTAGCGCGACCAATTGTTCAATCTTTTTTATTTCAAGCGTTAACTGTCTGAATCGGTCTGAAGACACCTGTACCAATAAACTCGTCACGGGGTATTACTGAAAAGATAAATAACTCTAACCTCGACGTTTTTGATTCCGTTAGCCAGAAACATTTGATTGCCGCTGTATCCCTCGTAAGGCGGAAGCTTTTTTGTGTCGTCGGCGAAATACACCTCTTGTTCGTCTCCACCGTAAGCCATGTCCGATAAATCAGGGCCAATGTCGAACGACCTGTACACTGGGTAATTTTCTACGTATGACGGATTTGTAAAAAGATAATCGACGATTGACTTTTTTCTTCGCGCAGTTCCCAACATCGACCCATTGACAGGTGTTGGATTTGTTATACTTTCTGTATTATTCATTGTGTTTCCAGATGTTGACATAGTTTCATTGGAAGGCGTTACATTGCTAGGGGTGGTTGTATTTTGCATGTTCGTCGTACTTCCTGATGATGAGGCGGCTTCAGTTGAAAGTGTGACGGTTTCTGTGCTTGACGTGTTCTGCATAACTGTTGTCGTGTCAGATGTAGGGGTTGTCGAAGTTGAAGTTGAGACGCTTCCAGGCGTAGTCGTGTTTGTTGTACTTCCTGACGAAGAAGTTTCTGTTGATGACGCTGGACTTTCTGAAGTTGATGAATTTTGAGTGGTTCCACTTGATGATGTAGCTCCAGTGGAAGGCGTAGCACTTTGAGCGGGGGTTATATTTTCCATATTCTCTGTGCTTGCAGATGTGGATGATGACATAGTTGTTGTCGTAACACTTTCAGAGGTAGATATGTTTTGGGTGTTTGTCGTACTTCCATTTGATGATGTAGTTCCAGTCGAAGGCGTAGCACTTTCAGTGGTGGTTGTATTTTCCATATTCTCTGTGCTTGCAGATGTGGATGATGACATAGTTGTTGTCGTAACACTTTCAGAGGTAGATATGTTTTGGGTGTTTGTCGCACTTCCATTCGAAGATGTAGTTCCAGTCGAAGGCGTAGCACTTTCAGTGGTGGTTGTATTTTCCATATTCTCTGTGCTTGCAGATGTGGATAATGCCATAGTCGTTGTCGTAACACTTTCTGAGGTAGATGTGTTTTGGGTGTTTGCCGTACTTCCATTTGATGATGTAGTTATAGTTGAAGGCGTGGTAGTTCCAGAAGCGGATGTACTTGTCCCGGATGTGGCATTCGTTGTTTCAGTGGCCATGCTTTCTGTTGTACTTATAATATTTTCCGACATTGTTGTGTTAGGAGTCGTTGATGTATTGCTGACTGTGGTCGCAGAAGTAGTACCATTTGTAACGTTTGCTTGGGTTGTTTGTGAAGTCGTTGATTTTTCTGTTGTAGAAGTTGGTATCTTTTGTGTAGACATAGTTGTCGTTTCTTGCGTTACTTCTGTTGTAGTAATTTCAGTAGGATTAGTAGTGGTCTCCTGTTTCTCGGTGGTAGTGTTCTCAGTACTTAATGTCGTCGTAGATGTTTTATCAATTTCTGTGGTTGTTGGACTGGTGGTCACAGAAGCATTTGTAGTAGTGCTTATGGGAGTGGTCGTCTGACCGCTTTCTATATCGAATCCATAGAAACGCAAAATCTCTGTGTATTTTTCTTCGAAAATAACATTTTCCGAATTTAGAGCTAGGCCAGCTAGAAATCCTTCTTCAGGTACGAAATATGTCTGAAAAAATAGTGAGATTTAGAAAGAACAGAAGTTGAAAATAAATACGAGGATAATTAAAAAAAAAAACTGTTTTAAAATAGGACTGAACATTAAGAATAAACCCGAAGTATTAAAAAAGTATAAGGCGCTGACCATTTATAAGTCGTAATAAAAAATCTCACATACACGATATTATTTAATTGTTAAGTACTTAACTGTGTACATATTATGTTGATATGACTTGATTACTGCTAAAGTTTATTTATCAGTCAACGGTCAGTCAAATACTTGAATTTATTAACAAAATTAAGAGATGTCGAAATTAAAACAATTTATTTTAGCCCTGCTTATTTTATTAAGGAGATTTGAGAAATTAAGGTCTTATGACCAAGTTATCGACAAAAATTAGATGAATCTAGTACTTCTGCTCCTGTTGCAGCCGTTCAGGGTTTAGAATAAAATTTTACATACCACAATATAGTCTAAACAAATTTTACTGAATGAAATATTGATAGTAACTAAAAATTGCTCTGATTTTCACAACTATTATTCCCCATTAAGGTTCAACTGAAATATTTTCAGATTAATTAAAATTCTTTGTTATTAGGTCTTTTAAATTAGGTATAAACATGTAAATAGATAATTTATTTAAGAACAAACTTTTACGAATATAAATATTTTTAGACAACTTACTTTGAGCGTACGGTGTATATCCCTGAAGCCAACTCGCATAACATTCCTGTTCCAGGGCAGCTGCATGGCGCGCTGGATCTCGTACGAGGAGTCGCCATCCACCCCTTCGTACAGCGCCACCATTATTCCCATCAGTCCGTACGGGGAGAACGCTATGTTATTGTCGTTCAAGAAGTTATGCTCCGCTAGAACTTTCAACCCAAACTCATTGGTAACGTCCACCATTTGCTTGAGTGGACTGCGTCCTGTATCCCAGTGATTGATTTCAATAGGCACCCCATACTTGATGGCCGCCGCGATCGCTATACTCGCGTAAAAGCAAAACAATCGTACGCAAAGGAAAGTGTCCGCGCGTCCGGCGCGCCGCATGTTGGTCGCGGTAGTGACCGCGCTGTGCCAGCCGAGGCCCCTTGTTTCGCTTTACGCTAATCTTCGCATTTAATTATTGAGAACTCGCACTTTTCGGTGAATGCCCTCTTCATTTTTTTTTGCGAAAATTTTACATTATGAGATTCGTTATTACTATCAGAACTTTAATAACGCACTCACCTAAGTTATTAATAATTATTAATGAGGCATTTGACTCGTGTATAACTGTGTTTGTACGCATACTTGTGATTAAATCTATTACACGAATTAACACATTAGGCGCTTCAACGGTCAATATTTTTTCTACAAAATATATCCTCCATCTTTTCTGAAGCGATAAAAATATTTTTACAAACTTATGTTGTGGATTTATAGAGTTCCGCTATTGGAGCTTACATTTTGTCGATTTGATTTTACACATTTTATATTAGTTACATTGTCACCCGCTAGTTTTGATGTTTAGGGAATAGTATATTTTTAGATACTGCTGTACAAGTTGTTAATTACCAAGTAAAAGTTTAGTTATCCACAATAAAGCCTTTTATGAGCCACGTTTTCATTAATACGAAATGTTACGAGGCCATTACCTCCGTGTAATCAAAATTTTCAGACATTACGGATGTAAATTAAAACACTGCACTCATCTATTATTCAGTTGCCAAAACACTACAGCCATCCACAGTTAATTTACATTTAGCTATTTTTTTGCCTACCCACACATTATGTCAAAACGTACAAATCTAATTATAAGTTATCATCTTAACTAATATTATAAAGAGGCAAGATTTGATTTGTTTGGTTGCAATGAATAAGCTCCAAAACTACAGAACCGATTTGGAGAATGCTTTCTTATTTCTGATCGCAAACGATGCAATGAGATGAATTTGAATATCAACAATAAATTGCATTGTCATAAGATGTTTCAAACATCAGAAACAGGCTTTTATACCGGTTTCATGCTTTACTACACATTCCTACGGAACCTGTATATCATTGAACAAAAAGTCTTAAAAATTTTTGCACAATTATGTAGATGATAGCAATACTCAAAAAGCGATAAGTCTTGCTAAAAGCTTATTTTTGTTATTAGTAATGTTTACGATTTGTCCCACGATATCGACTTATGGTCATTGTCCCATGAACGTGTATAAATCACTGATAAAGACAGGATGTTCTTAATGACTTCAATATTCCTAGCCTATGTTATAACAATCTATTATTCTCGGTTCTGATTAATGTGTTTTAATTTTATACATTCACTTAAGAAATAGAAAAAGAGTTTTAAAGAACTGGAAAGCTTTCACAATACTTTAATATGTTTCATTTAGTTAAAGCAAGATGGGCAGACAGTTATTGTTATTATGTCCACTTGATAGACTTTAATTATGGCCTAATTAGAAAACATCTAATTTTTAGGGTTAAGTACCTCGTAAGGAAAAAACGGAAACCTTATAGGATCATTTTGTCATCCGCCTGACTATCTAAGACCCATTTTCTCAGGAACGCGTAGAGATATCAAGCTGGAATTTATATCAAATACTATTTTACTGTCCCTTATAGCTGTAAAAATTTATTTAACGTGGCAATAAAAAAAAACCATCACTGGCTCGATTGTCGGTTGGCACGGAACCCTCGGTGCGCGAGTGCAACTCGCACTTGGCCGTTTTTTTACGTCTAATGTTAACCCTTTCGGTATTGAACTTTTTCATATAACTGTAATTTGTAAATTTGATTCAAGTAATCTGGGTTCTTGATCCGTAAGTAAAATAATTATAGCATTTCATTAAATTATACTTTATTTAAAAGCTGTAATTAAAACACAATTCATAAACACAACATAAGGCGTAAATTATTGCAACCTAATAAAAATACTGTTATTGCATTCCTCCCCTGCCGCGTCCCCGTCCCCCTCCCTGAAAGCCGCGCCCTCCTCCTTGGAAGCCACGCCCCCCACCCTGGAAGCCACGACCCCTTCCTCTGAAGTTTGTATTTGGGTTTTTCTGGTAGTTATTGTAATGCTGTTGATTCATATCTTGTGCATTGTAGTTGTTTCTAAAATTACCTCGCCCTCTTTGATTAAAGGAACGATTCTGGTTAAAATTGTCGTAACCCGTTTGCATCTGATCGTTCGGCACAAAAGACTGAGTATTATTATCTGGCTGCGCGGGCCATCTGTTATCGGACATCGACTGTCTGTTATCCGCTAGAAGCTGATTGTTGTCTCCAAACGGAGATTGTATGTTGGTTCCTAGTAATGGTGGTATTTGGACCCTATTCCCGGTAGGCACGGGCTGTCTAATGTTTTCCACTGAAAACTGCCTGCCGTCCCCTTGTCTGTTATCGTTCATTAATGGCTGTCTGTTATCTCCATATAATGGTTGCCTATTGTCTTCCATTATTGGTGGCCTAATATTGACATTTGTGGGCTGCATATTATCTTCTATTGGAGTCTGTCCATACTCTCCTATAAAAGACTGCCCTGATTGAAAAGTCTGTCTATTGTCAGCCATTAATGGCGGCCTATTACCTAGAACGGGCTGCCTGTTGTCACTCATGAAAGTATCCCTACCGTCTGCTGGTTGCCTATAATCGGCCATCGCAGGCGGTATATTATTTCCCATCAGCGGCTGTATACTTTCACCAGTTAATGGCTGATAACTATCGTTTGTTGAGAACTGTCTATTATCAACGTAGGGTGCCTGCATATTATCTCCCGCGTAAGGTGGTCTATTCTGTATCATATTCTGCGTATTGTTAACTATAGTTTGCATATTGTCTGTTTTCAAGGACTGACTGTTCTGAACTTGCATATCATTGTAAGCTTCATTGGAGTCATTAGTTCCAAAGCTTACTTGGCTCTGAGGGGAACTTGTCCTTCCTTGATAATTGTTAGGAGATTTCCGATTTTGAAAATCAGATGTAATATGCGGTGGAAGATTCATGACAGGTTTGATTGGATCAATTTTAACAGTTGGTGGTTCGGGCATGTCTCCAAAAGATCTCGGTTGGTTGTTGGTGGCGACCTCAGCGGTCTGGTTGACTTCGGCAGGTTTGGATAGCGATGTGGATTGTATCGAGGCATGCACTAAAGCAAACAGGTCGGCGGCTGAGGATATATTCAATGCAGTGCTAACGCTGGGCGCCGGCGACGCGGCACTAGGTTCCGTTGTAACGGCTGGCTCTACAAGAGTTTTTGTTTCTTCCAAAGATTTTTTCACAATTTCCATTTCCTGTTGGATTTGGTTCTCTTTTACTTTTTGGGTTGCGGATTTAAATACCTGCGAAAAAAGGTAACATGTAAACTTAATCAGTTGTGACGGGTTTATTTAACGCTACAAAAAGGTTTAGGAATAACTATAATGATTTTCTCCACGTTATCTAGTACAGAAATGTTCATATATAGTACTTCTTGCTTCATAGAACTTACCTAGTACGAGTAAAAAAAATATTTCGCAACTATATATTCACGATAGTAACCGACCGATTTATAAAAACTTGCAGATTTATGTCTGTGGCGCCGACACCGAATTTCAGCGTGAATGTTAGCCGATTCATATTTTGTTTTGTTACTAAAGTTTAAACAATTAAACATGCAAATCGCAACAAATTAACATACAATTAAAAAAACCTAATTTCAAAACTCTTTCAGTAAGTAAAGCTAAGCTATATTATTATTCTGTTAACTATTTATCATTCACGAGTGTAGGCTAGCAACTCGGTAGTGTATACAAATGTATAATAAAAATGTCTCACTTCTTCGACAGTGTAGTCGTCGTCATCACTCTGTATGGTGACGAGGTCCGTGTCGTGGTTGTGTGGGCGGGCGTGGGCGTGGGCGTGGTCGCGGTCGTGGGTGTGGTCGGAGGCGCTGGCGGCGGCCGCGCTCACAAACCGGCGCAGCTTCTCGACGCGCTGCGGCGCGCGCACCTCCAGCTTCTTCAGGTACGCGATCAGGCTGTGCTGCTCCTCCGCCGACAGCTCGTTGAAGTTCTTCAGCAGCGTCTCCAGGTCCGAGTCAGACAGGCCGTCCATTGCATCCGATGCATCATCTTTAGGCGGCGGGGCACTGTCGTAAACAACTTTAATTACAATATCTTATTTTTTTTTGTAATTAAATAAAATGCGGATCATTTAACTATTTTAACCTTGTTTCACGTTCCAATAAAGCAATTTACATACTTGTCCTCGAGATTTTATACAGATTATATAAATTACTTCCTAGGATACTTAAGCAAAAGATGGATAATGTGTTACTTCGGGTCATCGTATGCGGACTGAAGCATCTGCAGCGCGCTGGTGGTGCCGGCGCGGGTCGCACTCGGTGCGCTCTCCGATGCTAATTGATTTTTTTTCTTTGCTTCGCTTTCTCGTTTCTTTGCTTCTGCCATTCCGACCTAACGGACACAAATCAGTAATTTAGCTGTCAATTTCAATGTAATCATTTTATAATGTCGCTTTACTCTATTTGGCTCCGCAGTATATTTGAGATGGGATCATTATAACTGCGATGAGGGCAACACTCACAACAGCGTCGATGAGTTGCTCAAGCTCCTCCGGCGAGACGTCGGTGCGGCCCTCCGCCACCAGCGCGGCCGCCATCTGCGCCGCGATCTCCGCGCGGTCCACCGCGCCCACGCCCGCCACCGATACCGCGCCCCCACCTGCGCACTTCGACTCCACACCGCCTCCACTCTGCCACATAACACACCATATTAAATCAACATTATACCTAAGAGTCACAATTAATTTTTGATATTTAAGAACTGTGCATTTCGAAAACGACCTTTTTTGGTAGCTCTGATATGTTATGCACACAAATTTACCTACAACCTAAAAAAGCTTCAACTTTGCAAACATAAGACGTTTGGTTAATGGCTAGCTTTAGAGTTTGTGTTGTGGCTATGATAGTGTTACCTTTTTGCGGCCGGTGGTGACGTTGGTGTCGCGGTCGCGGTTGCGCTTGTCGGCCTCGTGCAGTGCGGCGGCGAGGCGCACGACGGTGGCGCGCACGGCTGCGGCCGCACTGCCCGTCACCAGCCCCGCCTGCGCCGCGCCCTTCAGCTTCTCCTTTGCCGTCTCCAGCAGCGCCACCGCGCCCTCGCGCTCCAGCAGCTCCTCCGACGAGTTCGCCTTTTCCTTTTCACACGGTCAACATTCAAATAATATGTACATTTTTTTAGTAGAACCACAAATTATCTAGTAAATGTGCTCAAGTTAAAATAGTAAGCAATATACACCAATCAACCTTTTCCATCTTGAGAGCTTCGGTGAGGAGGTCCACGACCTTGGGTCCGAGACTGCCGAGGTAGTCCTCGAGCGCAACGAGTAGGCGCAGCGTGGCGATCACGTTGTCGGTGGGTCCGAAATCTTGCGGCGCGGGCGGCTTTGCCCCGGAGGCGGGGCGCGCGCCGTACCCCACGTGGGGTCCGTGCCCCATGTGCGAGGCGTGCCCGCCGTGCGGGCCGTGCGCGCTGCGTGACGAACGCGACGCCACGCTGGCGCTATGCGAACGTCTCTCTATTATAGAGTCCACCGAATCGATGTCGTTGTCAGAGTTCCAGGGTGAAAGTCCGTCGTCACTGTTGTAACAATAAAATGTTTTGAGGAATTAAAAAAAAATATTGGATTAAACTCTAGTAATTTAAAACTTTTAAGTCCAGGTTATGTTAAGAGGGCTATCACTAGATGAAATATAAGAAAAGAGTATCCATACGGCCTGAGCTCCTCGTCGGAGATGAGCACGGTCTGCAGGGAGGGAGCAGTTTGCGCTGTGTGCGCGGCGTGCGTCCTGGGACTGAGGTTGCGATGCTCCACGCGCTGCGACAGCGGGCTCACGTTGCGACGCCCCCCTTCTCTGCTGTACGTTCCGGGCGATTCTAACCTCCTGAATATTTACAATACTTTTAAAAAGCATTCGTACAAAAGAAATTATTACTCATAAACCTGTATTTTACCTTTTATAAGGGCTCCTCGAGCGGCCCGGACTGTGATGGTGCTCCGGTGTGCGACGTCGCATTATTGGGGATCTGCGTCATAAATCACACATATTTCAAATTACAAAAGACTTTATGAACAACAATAAGGTTACACAATAATTTACTGATTTATGCCAGATTGATGAGATAGATTTTTACGAAAGAAAATATATAGCCATTTAAAACAAATAACCCGCATCCATGGTAAAACAAACCAGTGCGGTGTTCTCTAGCAATGAAGGTCATATAAAATCAGAGGCAACGCAAGAACTAACTAACTGACTATAGAATGGTGATGCCTGGTGGAACTTGTGAACTTATTTATAAGGATGTTATTACCCTCTATCTCTGCGATAGCTGGTCGGACTCCTGTATCTGGAATACGGCGACTTGCGTTTAGGTGAGGGCGGGCCATCGTATCCATCGGGCGACCGCCTCCTCAGGTAAGGCGACCTCCTCTTCATATCTGGAGAGCGTCTTCTCATATCGGGAGATCTCCTTCTAAAGTCTGGAGTTCGTCTTCTAGGGATAGGGGACCTCCTCCTCGGGTCTGGTGATCGCCTCCTGAGGATAGGAGACCTCCTCCTCGGGCCGAACGGTTTGTTCTTGTGAGGCGAGCGGCTGTGGGATCTGGGACGTGGTCTGGAGCTGGGCGAGCGTCTCCCATCGGATGGTCCTACTTCTGGTAGGTGCTTGGCTTGGCTAGTCAGCTCCGACTCCGGTAGCGGTACGCCCATCTTCCGGTACAGCTCCGCGATATTAATCCGCAGTTCCTCGTCGTGTAACTCTTTCATACGCGACGTCCAAAACGGTATCCATTCCGATTTGAAATCGTGTTTCGATGGATCTTTGCCCTCTGCAATATATTCATTTTACATAGTTTTTTTACTGAATATATTAAAAAAAAAAGGATTTAACAAAATTTTATTACACATATCATATTGTAGGTAAACATTTGTGTTAATAATAAATGAGCATACCGGCTTGTACTTCCTTGTAGCGCTTGTTCCAGAACTTTTTCCACTCCTCAGGGTACAGCGGATGCTTCTCGGGGTTCTTCTCGTGGTAGGCGAGCGTCTCTTTGGCCGCATCTATAGCTAATCGCTTCTTCTCATACAGTAGGACCATTTTGTAGTTTTTCTGATACGGCTTCGCCTGATAAGTAATGTTAGTTATTGCGAATATAAGTAAAAATATATGTCTGTTCCCTGTGCATTGAATTTTATCTAAAAACCCGGTCGAACTTTAGCTCTTCAAAGAGATTTAGCTTTAGCTATTAGTAAAGAAATTCATATAATAGATTAATGCGCTATCAATTTTTAAATCCTATAACATTGGCATAGATTAGCTTATTTCACATATTTTTAAAGGTACTTTAGTAAAATTGATTACTTACTTTATTATCTGGGGCATTTTTAACGACATAACGTGAGCGAAACTGGCCACGGTTGTTCGGGCACTGGTCTTGTTCTTTCTTTTCTCTGAAATGAAACATTACAATTTGAAACTACTGGGACTAAGCAAAGTCAAAAACTAGGAAGCTTAATCGAAAAGATTTAAATTTGCTTAATTCAGAGTAAATTGAGGTATAACGTGGGTTTGGAGATCTTTGCAGCATCACTCATCGCAGGGTCTTTTAAGAGTATCTGCGTCAAGCGTTTTGGTCACAGTAAAATAAGGCAAAATTTGTATGAGATATGACATTACGAAAATTTATTACAAATTATTAGTAACGTCTTCGATAAAATTTGTTACGAACACTTTTTTGCACATTTCGTGCTAGACCCTGTGAAGGTAAATATTATAGCTTATGTATTGATATAATACAAACTTGTTGATTGTTTGTCCGTCGCGCTGCAACTCCTCATCACTGACATCGGACAACGACTCCACAGACCCGATGCGCTCCAGACCAGTCTGACATCATTTATAACGTTAACGTATAAAATGTTAGTAATTCTTCATATAATATGAACATTTGCTGTTAATTTAATATTGATTTAATGTTTATTATTCTTATAAAATAAAATTTATTCAAAGTAAACTCACATTAGTTGATGTGGTCCGAGGTCGAGCAGGAGCAGGCGCAGTCACCACGGGCGGAGATGGATTTCTAAAAAAAATAATCAAAATTATAACATCTTCATGATTTTTAAGAAAAACATATAAAATAGATATATTTACCTTTCTTCTCTTTTTTCCTTAGCTGGAAGAAGATAAAAATTCATTAAAATAATGTAAAACATACGCATACCAATAAAAAATACTTATAGGATTTAATGAAGCGATTTTTGCTCAGATTTATATATTATTCTAATTCCGATTATTACATTCAGCTCATGATAAGAGTATATCTTGATAAAGTTTATAACTGGTTATCGTAATAATGTGTAAAAATAAAATTATTATAAATGCATGAACTCACTGGATTCAGTAAGCGATTTAATCAACTCCTCGTCCACAACTTCTTCAAAAGTGTGTCCAAGGTCTTCGGAAAAGTGGTATCCTTTGAAAATCCATTGGATTATCGCTTCCCTGTTCAAACAACACAAATTATTAGTTATTTTTCAAACTTTAATCAAGTAAAGCCATTTAATTAAAAAAATAATATTTAGCGAATTTACTTGTACAAGATTTTAATACTAGAACAGACAACTGCCCATAGATATTCATAATTGCAGATGCGTTGCCTACCTTCAATCGAAGGAGGGGAGACTCAAAGAAAAAAGATACATCTGCTTCCTATGCGCCTCCTCCTCTGTCGAATCCACTTTCCCTTCCCATCTCTACCTTATAAAAAAGGATGGGAAGGAAAAGGGGAGTAGAATAAGGTCTCCGGTAACTTTTAGCCAGTCTTGTGAGGTCTCTAACATATGGTTAACATGTATGATGATGAAGTATACTGACTTGTCTCTATCAAACTCCTCCTTGTCGATGTTGACAGGCTTGAGGCGGCCGTACTTGTCCTCTATGCGCTGCGCCAGTCTGTTCACAACGGTCATGACGCCCACACGTGCGTTCAGCCGACGTCGGTGCGGTGCTAGCAGCTTTGACGCCTTGTAGAAGTGACGAGACTGATCGACAAGTTAATTAATATAGTTAACACATTCATATTATGTTTATACAATTAATAAAAATTAAAATGTCTAAATGTATTTCTGTTGTTTTTAGCGAAAAGTGTGGAACGTTTTTTACTGGACGAAGTTGCGGGCAACCGATAGTTATAAATAAAAATTGACAATTTCAGAGTTTTTTGAAACACTGAAAAACAATGTTTAGCATTTAAATATCAATATACTAATCCAAACAAATTGGAATAACGTTACAAAAAATATATATATTTTTAGTATTTTTTTTTAATACTACTGATATTTCAATATATTGTAAGTTACATACAAAAAAATTGCAGCGATGATGGTAGCATGTCATGTGGTTGACTATGGTGCGCTGGTGGCCCTGCTTGGAGCACAGTGTGCACAGGTACGAGGGCTCCTGGTTGTCCCCTTCAGGCGGGTGCTCCACCAGGTACTCCGTGCCCAATAGCGGCGCCCTGCAAACAAGTATCGAATCAAATTAGTTACTTAAATTTTGTAAATAACCTCGCACATTTACGTTTAAGTTCCAAAATATTTACGTTAAATAATTTATCACATTATTTAAATCTAAACATGAACCATCCATATTAAAAAATAGCGAACAACTCACTTGACTTGATCCAATGTCTCCTGAATGTGACAAGTGACTCTGTATTTTTGATATTTCATATCCATTTCCAAGTTTTGATGAAGAAAAACTTCTTCCGCCATCTTCAGATTGAGCTTCTGTGTTGCAGCTAAACAAAATATATTTTTTTATCATTAACTGCAAAATGTACATTTTCCACTGCTTTCTTATTTAAAGTTATAAAAACATTTTATTAATAGAAAAATTACCTCCAGTCTTGATTATCCCCTTTTCTTTGAGTATGTAAGGATGATTATCGAAAATGCTAGGTGGCCAAACACTCTTAATAGATAGCTTGGTTTTGTGCTTCTTTCCCGATATATGCATCTGAAAATTTACATTTTACAGCGGATGAGACCATTTGATTATTGACTACTTAAGGCGACAATTACTGTTTTGTCTTTCCTCTAAATTTTACTAATTTTTTTAAGGGTTTAAAAGTTTACCTGTAGTATGTTCTCTCCACAGCAGACGGCGGCGCAGGGGTAGCACAAGTAGATCCAGTTGTGAGACACGTCGCGCCCGCGTCTCTCCACCATGCACCTGATGCTTCCATCTTCAACCTTCACCTTCAAACTGTTCAGGTGCGCTTGAAACTCTTGCTCCGCCTGCAAAACAATACCAAATTCATAACAAATCAAATCAATTGATAGCCAATAAGGCGATTCCATCTAGGAAAGCCATTCAATTTCACCCTTTAATAATTTATATAAACCGTGGGATAAATTGAAACAAATAAAGCAGTATTTATACATTTATTTATATATTTTTATAATTTACTCCGGAATATGTGCGTTGCTCGTAATAGTTACTTACCGATTCACCTCGCATCAGACGACATCAAGCTGCATATTGTGGTCAGCCCACAGAACTTTACAAAACTTTTTTGTGATAACAGATCCATAGTGTGAAAAACACAAACTCCTACACTATATCACGTATATTCGCGCACGAAATGTAACGGAAAAAAAGTATAAAGGAATAGTTCTGGATTGTTTTCACAAATGCAGGGTATGTTAATTATAAATGAAGATAAACATTTCTAATAATAAATCAGAAACCAGTGAATTAAAATCCTATAATTTTAAAAATCTATTTGTAGCATATCAAATTTCCCTTCTGTTTGTTTGTTGGTCTGCAAAAACTCTTAAAGCCACTAAACAGATTAAAAATCATATTTTATTTTCTGGTTATTTATTTGCATAACATTGTTTTAAACCAAACATTGTTTTTATATCAAAGGAGATCAGAGAAAACGCCAAACATAAATTTCAAGATTTTTTTATTAAAATTGAAAAAATAGACAATATAGGTAATTGTAGGTACAATTACCTATATTATTTTATAATATTATATTTGCATATTAAATTCTCGTCAAGAATATATATATTATGAAAAATAATCCATGGTATCTGCCTACCCCTCCGGATTACATTATAGGTAAGTAGTTTTAGTTAGTCATAATTTACACCCAATGTCCATGTTCCAAATAATTCATAACATTCAGGCTCATCTTTTATTTTATAAAACACAAAAAAATATTTATACCTAACTTTTTATGTTATTAACTTAAAACATAATAATATTAATTCACTTCACTTTTTCTCACTAACTTCCTAAAATTGTAAAATTTCCAAAGAAAATGCTTTATTCAACTATTATTAATAGCAGTAAAAAATATTGTGTTTCAAACTGATTAAAAATTTGATACCTTTAATACCTTATACTTATACTTTTAATACCTTGAATTTAATAATAATTACCCTTTAATCAATCTCTTATAAATTAACTTTAAAGCTGAGAAAAGTAGCAAAACTAATTGTGGCCTCCCACTACAGAAACGATAAACCATAGAAGACAATTTGTGTCTTGCCTTCTCATTTTCTTGGAAAAACTAAAATAGTGATATGGCAGGATGATAAGTCTTGATAGTGAGCTAAGCCTTTTAAGGTATAAATTATATTTATTTATAAATAAGTGAAAAGGAACTCCATCGCAGTTTTTAATTTGTGTAACTTTTCAAATGATTTAGCCGAGGTTTGGGAAGAGCATGAGCATAGCAATATATATTAGGAACATAACAAACTATGACTTGTAATAATTATTTATTATCTATAAAATAACTTCAATTTTAATGTGCAATCATTCAAAAAAATAAATATTTCATATTTACCTTTGTACACTCAGTTTCATCCATATCGGGTTTTTTTGGTACTTCAATAACAGTATCTTGATAGCCCTCTGCCCCCGGGGGGCAGTCGGGCAGCTCCATCTTGCTGCACTACACTTCACAGTTTATGACCACAATATGGTCATAAACTTTTTCTCACAAAAAAATGATTTTTGTTTTTCTTTCTTCTATCTTAACACCACACCCAGCTCTGTGAAAGAATTCACAGTTATTATAATGTGTGCTTCAATTTCTCTTTTTATATGAAAATGTACTTAAATTAAAATTATTAAAATTGATACTTACAACCTCTCCACAAGCAAATTTCTTTACATAGATGAGGTGTTCACAGCTGTAGTGTGGATAAAACATAAAGTATTGAAACAATTTATGTCTTATAATAATCTGCTGATACTCAATTAACAAAATAAGAGGTAAAAGACATTTCTAGATATTTTCCAGCATAAATAAACATCCCAAATTTATTTATGCTGGCTACTTGATCCTATAATATGGCGATCTTTTAAATTACCACTTAATTTTATTGGCCCAAATTATTTTCCTATTTAGCATTTTATAAAACTTTTTTTTAAGATAAAGGAGCAATGAATATGTTGAATTATTTGAAACATACTAAGAAACAGAACATGGTGAGAAGTTACATTCTTTCTAATTAGCAAATATAATATCAAGCTTAGAATTGAATTGAAACATAAAAAACTTGTATTTGACCAAATTGAAAGCATAACTCCTTTTACATCTTCCTATAATATCAATGAAAGAGTTTGGTACAGACAACTTTTTTGAAAAAAAAAGTCTCATACAAAATCACTAAGCTCCATAATTTTTTTTTTCTAAAAATCGTAATTTTTTTGCAGTTTTGCAATGAACATGAAGTGGTATTTTTTTTCCTAATAACCGATACAATGTTGAAGATGCTAGTAAATGGTATTTGTAAAATTAGTTACTAAATGATAAATAAATATAAAAAATGCAATGCAAAACCGACACCCATCTTATTTGTGACAAACACAATACTTTACTTACAAATTTCTCCAAAAATACTAAACACTGAGTGGATTTTATAACTTAGTATTTTATATCTTGCAGATCTATTATATAGCCTATCACAACTGGCAACTGTTAAAGTTGCAATCAACATGTATCAAAGCATTTTCACTTTGTTTAAATAAGCAAATAAATGTTTTATGTAGTTTTTTTAGTTTTTTGTATATCATTATAATTATAGCTTATCACATACCTCGTAAAATACTTTTCAAAAAGAAAAATTGTATTTATTATTTAATGTATTTATTTGGCCAAAATTGAAGAATTTATTAAATTAAAGTTTTATCAGAGTTCATTATCAAATATTTAAAATGTACTTACCAGAGAACGCGAGTTTAAGAGAAAGTCTTATAAATGTTCACTTTGAAATAAGCCTTTATTATTTTCATTTTAAATAAAATCATTGGAGTTAATCAATAATCACGAATAAAATTTGTTTACATAAAATTTTAATGAAACTAGCTACTGACCTGTCAGTGGACGCCGACTTGATGTGTTCTTACAAGACTTTGCCTGTGTTTAACTATTTCTTGAAACTTTTAACAAGTTTTAAGCGTATTTTCTTTATGTACGTTATCGAATAAGATTCACAAAACCTCAAAAACTGCAGTCCATCCAACAAGCAAGCTTTGGAAATGGTTGGAAATCCAGAAACAATAAGTGAAAGAAAGAACCATAAAGCACAGCTCTACGTAAAATATTGATTATGGTTTGCTGAATCACAGATTAAATAATGCATTTAAAAATATGAAACTAGGGGAGATCCGACAGATCCCGACCACGATATAGTTGTGATCACGTATAAAAACATATTTATTGTAGTTAAGGTAGCTAAATAAAATACACGTCCTTAACTCAAAGAAACTCGCAGAATTCTATTCATAATAATTAATTACTTTAGTTTTCTACAGCTGTCTGCTTCCTTGTCCGTCTTTTCTTTTAAATGGAAATAAATGGAAACAACGCCAAAGAATGAAACTAGTGAGAGATATACATTTCCGGATTATATTATAATCACGGAGCTATATCTTAGTATTATTATAAATGCGAGTGTTTAGATGGATGGATGTTTCAAGGTATTTCCGGAACGGCACAACGGATCCTGATGAAATTTGGCACAGATGTAGAACAGAAGAAGCAGAAGCAAGGAAGAACATATAGGCTTATCATTAAATTTTCATTTTAATTTCGTAAGGATGGAGTCGCAGGCAACAGCTAGTAGGATATAACTATATCAACGATTGAATGTATCAGACTTTTGTCTCCATACATCCATCCATATACAAATGCGATTTATGATGGCGAAATAAAAGATATTTCGTTTATAACTATTTATCAAAAAGTATATTTACAACGATAAATTAAAACTAACATGATTTATTAAGGAATTAGTTTTATGATACATCCAGAACACTAATATTCACCCATCTCCATTAAGGCATCTATGTGTTCATTTTCAGGCAATATGTCTATTTCTAAAGGATCACACGCAATTTTATTTCCACCTTTGTTATCAACGGTGAAAAATCTGAATAACTTCGACAAACTTATAATGGAATACGCTGAATGGGCTAAATAATCTTCTACAGCCTCTTTCAGTACTTGTAGTGCTGACACTATTTGGGTTGATGTTTTCGTTTCTAAAAGAAAAAAGAATGTATTAGAAGTAGTATAACATATTGAAGTTTAAATTGAACATACGGTTTTAGCAATTATTTTTCGCTTTACTAATAACTACAAGTGATCTTAAATTTTTTACAAGCCTTATTTTCTTTTTTTTATTAAAAATTAATTTGTACTTACTTGCAGACATATGTTTACTCAGATCAAATAGGTACGAAAAGAAACTGATTTGAAGGTGAAGGTCTTTTTCGGTATACTCTCTAAACATGACTCCTTTCTCGCACTGCCTACATAATGGGTATCCACCTATGAATGTTTGAGGCAGTCTCGCAGTACGGTAACCACAAGCAGGGTCTTCGCAAGATAGCCAACCTGCGTAATACTGAGCATGGTACTGCCGGATTTGCATCGCCAGTTGATTTTGGATACACGCCAAATAATCAACTGGTTTCAAACTGCACTTGTGGTTTTGACATTTTTCTAAGAATATAACGCTGTCTTTGTCTAATTTCACGCAGATTTCACGTATTTTGTTCTCAGTTTTACAATTTTCATTTACGCAAACAAATGTAAAATCTTTGCATTGCCTATATTTCTCGTGTTCATTCTCCACTTCGTATGTGTCTGAGCTGGTGTTTTCTTTTCTATTAAACTGTCTATAGCCCGAAGGGTCCAAGCCGAGGCAGTCGGCAACGCGAGCCGGGTCCATGCCCTCGATTGGCTCGCAAATTCTAGATATGACGGGATGAAGTTGATGTGCCAAATAGTATCTATAGTCGATCTTAAGATGTTCAGAATTTTTTAATTCTTCAATATGGTAAGCTCTCTGTGTAGCCGAGTTGGCTGTTCCATCTTCACAAATCACGTATGGCACAATGTCACCTTTCTTGAATCGCCTGCTATTTTTTGCATTAAGCCTTAGAGCGACTTGCACATGAGGTTGGGTGTTTTTATCCGGATATTCGTTGGGATTCTTCGTAAGTTGTTTAGTTATAGTCAGCAAAGACAGCGGCATCTGGTTGCTCAATAAATCTTCTTTCAGTTTGTTCAGGTGTATTTGTATATTTTCTAATCTATCGTCCGGGGCCTGTTCTGATAAAATTTGACTTAATATAAATTTACCCGCCTCCGCCGCCAATTGAGACCAGTCACGACGTACTATATCCAAACCTTTGTGTTCCTGAGTTAACACAAATTCACCATTTTTATTCTTGCTTATTACAACGGCAGCATATTTCTTTTTCTTGAGCAAAAGTAAATATTTGAAAACTCCATCAATATCTAGTTCGATTTGCCTGTACTTTTTATTAATTTCTTTCTTTAGATCGTTACCGATTTTAAAAACATAATCACAGTCTAAGCAATTAGTATTAATCATCAAACTGTCTGTGTCACCATACACCACTTCATAATTTTGTTTTTGAACAATTTCCTTGGTATCCATAAGAATTTCTCTTCCTTTCATAGTAACTAACGCCGCAAGAGGCTTAGCGTAAAACCGTGAGTGGGTAAAGCCCAGACATCCATACATAGAATTAGCGGTGAGTTTTAATGCGGTTTGTCTAATATTATACTGCATGTATTGTTCAGGTAGTAAATCAGGGGTTTTCATCAATTTTTTAACTTCCCTCCTGCTCTCTACTAGTTTCCTAATCTGTGTTGGCAACACACCAAACTCTGCCTTGGGACCGGGCAGAACTAAATTGCTCAAATCGTCATCTGTTCCAGTCGAAAGTTTTCTTTTAATGGTAGTGAAGCAAATGTTATATTCCTGTATAATACTAGGATATAAGGAATTGAAATCCATCAGTAACACAAGTTTGTCATAAAATCCTTTTTTAGGGTCTAAAACCAAGCCTCCAGAGTATGCAGCTTTCTTCTTGCCTTGTTTCTTTGCCACATTAGCATCTTCGTTTTCATCATTATCACCATCATTGGCACTCGCTTTCTTTCCATATACTTTATCGGGTACAATAAAACCTTTCTCAGTAAAAGCATGGAGTAGTAAAAATTCGTTGCGTTCCGATCTACCGCCCATTAAAGTGCGAGACATTATATTGCCGGCTATTTGAGTGATTTGTAAAGCTAGTGGTATAACATTGAGTTCACACATCATCTTCAGTATGTAGGAAGCATCTTGCATATTCAGTTTAACCAGTTCCAGCAAGTCCTTGCTGCTTTCATAATATCGAGGTATATCTTCCAGCGCCACTTCGACTCTCTCTCCCTCTTTCATCTTGAGCACACTGACACAGAGTGTATCCAGATCGAAACTTCTAGAACGGATGAGTTCCATGGAGGAAAGTTTTATGTCGCAGACTAATCTACCTAAGAAGGCGTCTTTAGTTGCAAATTTCTTTTGAGGAGCTACAGAACGCTTGAGTCGCCCCAGACGGGACCAATTGGGGATACGTAAATCTAGAATGTTTCCTATCAATAAATCTTGTTGGAATCCCTGCATGTCATGCCCCACTACCAGATCTGGATCTAATTTCCAAAATTGTACCATAAAGTAATTGAGCAGTTCTCTCTCAGTATCGCACTTTGTAAGTTTAGTTGCATTGTATTGTGATAGAGCCTGTTTGAGATCTAATGGCCATATTTCATTGCATTTTGTCATAACTGAAAAGATACAATAATATCATTGCATTTATATGTTTGTAGACCATTGTTTATAAATTCTCATATTAAGACTTACCACAAAAATGTTGATGAAATGGTGGATTTGGTGGTGGTTTATGGATAGGAAAGCTATTATGTACAAGACAACTTAGCATCAATATTTTTGTTTTGTTGGTTTTTTGATCGACGACACTCCTTGTATTTATCTAGAATTATCAAACCATTACATTTAATTAGCAAATGATAGTCAAATATTTTACAACAGTATACGGATGTCACTCTCTGCTAAACTAAGCGAAAACTAATCCAACTTACAAACAAACCATTTCAGATATTTCTGGTATTTGTCTGAGGTAACACCAACATACATCTACATGTTATATAATTCAGTCATTTTAATAAGTTTAGAAATTTCTAGTATATACTAAATCTTTACTTACAGTTGCAACAACAATTGGTGGTGGCTCTAAATCCATTCCATTTCTTATAACACTGATGTTTTCAATTTTATCACAAGCTGCCTCCATTTTACACCAGGACACTTTGGCTAATACATTTTCCGCTTCTTTTATTTCAAGCCAACAAGGTCCTTTAATTTTCCTCTCCAATAAAAATGTTTCCAAAGAAGATGTGTTAGCACCAAATATATGGCTGTATGTTATTCCCTTTTTAATGGTATTTGGTGGTGGGAATGATGCCTAAAAATTAGAGAACGTAAAATAAACACAAATGTTACTAATACAATAGACTAAAAATAATATTTACTGTTAAAATAAGTACTTACTGAATATTTAACTTCCAAGTAATCACATTCAGCTGGTATGTCAGGAAGGTTGAAGCAGTAATTCTTGGTAACTTTCCTTGACTTGAACTCTGTGAGGCCGAGTTCACTTGCAATGGATTCATTAAACTCCTTGTACATATCCATCATGGATACCTCCTGATCCGTTTGCTCAAATGTAACTGGGTCTAATTTCTAAAAGTTACATAACTTATATCAGAGATTTTCTAAGAAAGTAATGTTCAGCTCAGCTTACACTAGTGTTCATTTCTAGTAATTAGCCAGATTAACTCAGCACTGTTTTTTTTAAATTGTATATTAGTAACAAGATGGTGCATAATATTTTTATAAGTTATTTGAAATTAAATAAATATGCTTTGTCCATACTCACATATTCTCTGGGCAACAAAAATATTTGGCGGTTAACATTTTTCACCACTACACAGCATGATACACAACCTGCTTGCTTATTTGTTGGATTAACATATGTCTTACCAAACAGATAAACAACTCCTGGCTTCACAAATCTGTCTTCCCAAGCATCTAGCCAGTAGAATTTGAATACTTTGTCTCCATTACTATTAGTCTGGAGTGGCAACTGTCCATCTGTTTGAATAGAAGGACCATTATGATTTTCACTGAATTGCTCCGAC